GTAAAAACGCGGAGATGTGAACCTGTCCCATTGGAGATCATGTTAAATGGACTGTACTGCGTTTCTGCAAAACGCAATGGAAAACGCTTAGGTGTGACCCTAGACCGGGTGTCGGCAACCCGCGGCTCGGGAGCCGCATGCGGCTCTTTTTCACCTTTCCTGCGGCTCCGGAGCACACTGCCCACCAGGTGACAGGCAATAGGGTCGGCAAGCCGCGGCTCTTTTAATGCAGATCTTCTGTGTGCCGGGCGCCCGCTGGCAAACATTGGCTGTCAGGATGTAGGCGGGGCAGCCCGGATGTAGGCGGGGCAGCGTGACGAACTCCTCAGTCTCCTCTCACAGTCCACCCTGAAGACCAGAACGGCGCGGGAACCCAGCGAGAGGAACGCGCGGAGCAAAGGTAAGTGAATTCACAACACAATATGGGGGATGAATTACTATAGGGGGGATGAATTACTATAGGGGGGGTGAATTACTATATGGGGGATGAATTACTATAGGGGGGATGAATTACTATAGGGGGGATGAATTACTATATGGGGGATGAATTACTATATGGGGGATGTATTTTCAGTTTTAAAAATGTTTCTCTCAAAATAAATTTCAATCGTGGTTTTGGCGAGATTTGGCTCAGTCGAAAAAAAAGGTTGCCCACCACTGACCTAAGGCTATGATTGTGATTATGATGATACACTGTGGCCCTGATTAACCCTTTGCTTACTGGGCCCTTAAACCCCCTTCATGACCAGAGCGTTTTTTGCAATATATGCAGTGTCGGATTTGTTTTAAATGTTGCAATGGTTTTTGCGGCTCCCAGTCTATTTTTTCCCTCTCGGAAACGGGTCCAAGTGGCTCTTTATGTCTTAAAGGTTGCAGACCCCTGCCCTAGACTTACCCAAAGTCAGAGTATAGCCAAGTAACCAGCATTTTCAGGAGGTTGGCAATGGCAGTCTCCATCATTCTCTCATGACTTGAGCACTTTAAAGTGGACCTTTCAGTCATTTTTTGAGTCTCTACAAGGAAATTCCTGACATGACAACAATTACAACATTTTATAAACGGGCTCCTCCTTTTATTAATAAAAAGCTGTCCTTGAGCACCAGTCCAGTGACTTTGCATAGGCTGGGATGCCATCAGTCTTTTGCAGCAGAAGGAAACATTTCCTCAGTCTCCTCCCCTCCAGTGATCTGACTGCAACATTGTCATTTAGTAGCAAGCCACAAGTTGAGAAGCTGCTGCAGCAGGGGCTGATCTGTGTCAGACATTTGTGAACACAGCCAAGAACTGCATGGGTTGTACCACCCTAGAACTAGATAGTGACCCCTGGATGATGCCTGATTGAAGATAGTTCTGTCCTTCTGGAGAGTAAAGCAGATGAAGGCACTGAAGGGGGGAGAACTGTAATCTCTGGAAGTATTACCCTTGCATGCATTTAATATATATAATATAACTGACACTAGGTCCACTTTAAAAAAAAATATCATAACGATGACCTACAAATGAGGAATATCTAGACCTGACGGCTGTGTATTCCCTTTTGCTTTCTGCGTGAAAAAAAAGTGTCATTTCCTAATTTCCCTCGAGATCCGCTGATCATTGCTTTGTTCTAATTAACTATTTATGGGGGAAGTCAGTGGCTATTCTCCAATCCAGAATTAACCCAGAAACTTTATTAAGAGCCTCCACGCTGAAGCTCCACCATAACCCCCCCACCAAATTTTTAGGGAATAACTTTTTCATTATTTAAGATAAAGATAAAAATGATATATATATATATATATATATATATATATACTTTATATATATATATATATATATATATATTTTATTTTTTTTTTATTATTAATAAAAATAATAATTATTATTATTATTATCATTATCATCATTATTATTATTTATTTATTATTGGCAAAAATTATTTTATTTTTAGTGAATAAAAACAAAAAAACGAATGAATCCATAGACGAAAAAAAAGATAACAAAACTAAAAAAAAAAAATTACACTTTTTTTTTTTTTACTTTGACCAGTGTCTGTTAAAAAAAAATTAAATTAGTGCCACTTTAGATAATAAGTATACATTTTATCATTTTTTTAAAATATATTTTGGCCTATTTGAAATGACATTAACATTGTATTTATGATTGCAAAGCGTTATTAAGTATATTTAAAAATGAAATAAAGGCGCTTTTTTTCAGATTAGCATTTTTTTTTTTTTTATGTGACACTAAAAAAAAGAAAGTGAATAAAACTGTAAAAAAAACGAATGTTCAAGCAATACTTTCCATGATCTCTTCTGTGTAGACAGATGTTTATCATTCTAATTTCACAATGTGATTTTCTTCGGTCTTATCTCATTTATATTCAGTATCTATGTATTTATTTATTTATTACAGGGATTTATACAGCGCTGACAATTTCTGTTGATCTCTGCAGATAAACATAGGCTCAACACAAGGGCACATAGAAAACAAATCCTGCTATTGGCCTGCTTATTCAGCAATAACTTTATCATTACTTAAGATAAAGATAACAAATATATATATATATATATATATATATATATAAATATATATTTTTATTATACAGGATTTATATCGCGCCAACAGTTTGCTCAGCGCTTTACAATATAACGGGAGACAATACAGCAACAATACAGTTCAATACAAGAGGGTTAGGAGGGCCTGATCCTGGGAGCTTACAATCTATATATATATAATTATTATTATTATTATATAGTATTTATATAGCGCCAAAGGGTTTGCTCAGCGCTGTACAGTAGCAAGGGGGACACAGAACATGAGACAAGACAGTAACAATACACTACACGAGGGGTTCGAGGGCCCTGCTCTTTCGAGCTTACAATATAGGATATCTATAACTATGTATATATATATAAAATTTGTTTTTAAACTATTATTATTATTTATTATTATTATCATCATTAATATTATTATTTATTTATTATTGACAAAAATGATTTAATTTTAGGCAATCCATAGACAAAAAAAGAAAAAAAAGATAACAAAGCTAAAAAAATAAAATTACACTTTTTTTTTTTACTTTGACCAGTGTCAGTTAAAAAAAAAATTAATTAGTGCCACTTTAGATATTAAGTATACATTTTATAATTTTCGAAATATATTTTGGCCTATTTGAAATGACATTGACATTGTATTTAGGATGCAAAGCGTTATAAAGTTATTTAAAAATGAAATAAAGGCTTTTTTTTCCGTTTTGCATATTTTTTTAATGTGACACTAAAAAAAAAGAACAAATAAAGACTTTTTTTTCAGTTTTGCATATTTTTTTATGTGACACTAAAAAAAAAAACAAAGAATAAAAACAAAAAAAGTAAATATTAATGGCTAGAAAAATAGAAATTAAAAAAAAAATCTGAAGGAAAATAATTGTTTAGCAGAGGAGTTAATTACGGCTGATTAGGGTAAACTAAGAGTAAGAAACTAAGAGGAAGAAATTTAATATAAAGGCAAAGTTCAAGGTTTGCAAAAAAAAAAAAGTAAATAACAAATGCACATATAGTTGCAGCCAAGAAAAAGTGCATTTATTAATATTTTAAAAAATGAGCCTACAAAGCATTGCAACTGAGATCTGTGGATGACAGGTGCAGTGTACAGGTTCCCCCAGCCCCATGCAGGTACAGACTCTCAATTAGAGAGCCGGAGGAAGTGTCAGTGGGCGCTGATCGCCGCATTTGTGTTCCACTGAGAACTAGAAGACCTTCTGCCAGATGGGACTTGAAGTTTATTCATTTACAGATCTCTGTGAATGAATTATGCCGCGCCGATTCCAATACTGACAGCTGCTCCGGGGAAGATGACACCAAATATGGGGGTAACACGGAAGATGGTCTTAACCACTTCAAGTCCGGACACTTTCACCCCCTTCCTGTCCAGGCCAATTTTCAGCTTTCAGAGCTATCACACTTTGAATGACAATTGTGCAGTCATGCAACACTGTACCCATATGAATTTTTTAGCATTTTTTTGAGACAGATAAAACTTTATTTTGTTGGATTTATTCTCCACTGGGATTTATATATTTTTTTTGCTATATAAATGAAAAAGTCCAAAAAATTTTGAAAAAAGTGTTTTTTTCTCATAAAATTTTTCAAATAAATAATCTTTCTTCATAAATCTTGGTCAAAATTTAGTCAGTTATCTTTTTAGTAAAAAAACTAAAAAAAACAAAATTAGTTTATAACCAAAATTTCTACATTTTTTTTTACTTTTTTTTTTTTTAATATATTATTATGTTTTTGGATTTTTTTTACATACTGTCACCCTAGCAGTACAGCGTCACCATAGTGCAGGCATGTCCAAAGTCCGGCCCGCGGGCCATTTACAGCCCGGGGGTCGGTTTAATATGGCCCTCCAACAGCCCTCCCTGCTCTGTGTAATGTGGCCCTCCCACAGCCCTCCCTTCTATGGCAGAAAGTCTTCTGCTTGAGAGCAGTGCGCATGCGTGACTGCGCCGCACTGGGAGCGACAGAGCGCGGTGACGTCAGGGCCGGGCTTCCAGCGTGAAGTGTGTTTCTCTTCCCCTCCCGGCTGCCGAGCAGAGACTTCAGCTCCAGCTACCTTTTTTCACCCTTCACATTAGTGCAGGTAAGTTTTTTTTTTTTTTAATTTATTTTCAATACATTGTGAAAACTCAGCTGTCAGTTGATCTTAATGTTATGAAATGAAAAGTATGTTGTTTGCAATTAACTTGGCATAAAATAATTTATTTGCATTTAATTGTAATGGTTCAAAGAATGTTCGGAAAAATGTTCGGCCCTCCACCATGTTCACTTCATCCAATCTGGCCCTCTTTGAAAAAAGTTTGGACACCCCTGCCATAGTGACACTGTACTACTTGTGGGGGGTGATGAATATTTTTTTTTTCTTTACACTTATAGCTTTTACACCCATAAAGGGTGTAAAAGGAATAATTTTTCCTTCTCTCTGACTGCATTCCTGTAGCCATTGAGAAATACTGTGTGAGCTGTGATTGGTCACAGCTTGTCACATGGTACAAGGCTGCTGTGAATGGCCTTGTACTATGTGACCTCTGTGATCATTCACAGATTTTATAAGTAGTAAGCAATGATGTCAGAAGTGACATCTTGCTTACTACTGTTCATGTGATGACTGATTGGCCAATCAGTGATCACATGATCGGGACCTCACACAGAGGTCCTGTACAGCGATCGGTGTTCCTCTGCGGGCTCCAGATCGCGGTGCCTTGCTCCCAGGGAGCGTGCACAGACTGTGAATGCGGGTGTCATTTATAAACGGCAACCCGCCCCTGCACTGCCCCCGTCTGGCCGTTTATGTACCATGGGCCAAACAGGAAGTGGTTAAAGGATAAGTTCACCTTTCATAACATGTTACATGGAACACCCACATTCAGGGTGTAACATGTTACGAATGGACCAGCCCCCGCTCCCCGTTGTGACAGCTAGTGGGGGATATTCTCCTCTCTGCTAGCTCTCACAATTTAAAAAAAAAAAAAAACCCTATGCCCCAGATGACATTATTTATGACGAAACGCATCGGTTGGAGCCTGCATTCGTGACGTCATCACGCTGTTTCCATATACCAGGAAGTTGGATCGGTTCCCGGGACCAGAGTTTTTATATGTTACAAAGCGCTTCCTGTTTTTCAAAATGTGAGTGATATATGAAAGTTATAGCATTTACAAATGGCGTATAGATACCGACATTTTTTTTTTTACTAGTAATGGCTGCTTTCAGCGATTTATAGCGGGACTGCGGCGGACATTCTGTCAATGGGGGGAACTGACTTGGTGTCACTGACATCCCCAGTGACACCAATACAGTGATCAGTGCTAAAAAAAAAGTACTGACACTGTACTAATGTCACTGGGCAGTAAGGGGTTAACATAAGGGGCGATCAAAGGGTTAACTGTGTGCAGGGAGAGTGTCTGTGTGCTTCACTGTAATCACACTGCTCTGGATGGCTGTGCTCTCTCAGCTTGTAGTTCTCAATGAACTTCCACGTCACTGTGGAGCGCTGTGGTAGCTCATCGATTCTTCCTGTCAGTATATCTGCTTGCTCATACATCCCGTACCGGCAAGCAGATATAGTGACAGGTCTGCAGGAGTTCTGCATGGCACTAGCAATCTGCGGATCACTGGTGCCATGTTTTAGAGCAGGGGTCTCCAAACTATGGCCCTCCAGCTGTTGAAGTACTACAAGTCCCATCATGCCTCTGCCTCTGGGAATCTCACCTGTGGCTGTGTCAGTCTTGCAAGGCCTCATGGGGCTTGCAGTTTCTCAGCACCTGGAGGGCTTAGTTTGGAGACCACTGCTTTAGAGGCTTCAGAAACAAAAAATAATGTATATTTTGCAAAAAAAAGTGTATTTATTATTTTTTTGTGAAAAAGTTGAACTTTAACCACTTCCCATCCGGCCCATGTATATAAATGGCCTGACGGGGGCAGTGCAGGAGCGGTTTGCCGTTCATAAAAGGTGCCCGCCATTTTGGACTGTGCGCGCTCCCTGGGAGTGTGCGGCACTGCGATCCGGTGCCCGCTGTGTCCAGAGGGCACAGTAGAACACCGATCGCTGTACGGGACCTCTGTGCGAGATCCCGATCATGTGATCACTGATTGGCCAATCAGTGATCACATGAAGAGTACTGTAGTAAGCAAGATGTCACTTCTGATATCATTGTTTACTACGTGTGAAATCTGTGAATAATCACAGAGGTGACATGGTACAAGGCTATTCACAACAGCCTTGTACCATGTGACAAGCTGTGACCAATCACAGCTCACACAGTATTTCTCAATGGCTGCAAGAATGCAGCCAGAGAGAAGGAGGAATTATTGCTTTTACAGCCTTTATGGGTGTAAAAGCAATCAGTGCACAAAAAAAAAAAATCTTCATCACCCCTCTACAAGTAGTACAGTGTCACTATGGTGACACTGTACTGCTAGGGTGACAGTATGTTAGAAAAAAAAAAAAAAACATAAATAATATCAAAAAATTAAATGAAAATGTAAAAAGTTTTTTTTAAAAAATTAACATTTTTGGTTATAAACTAATTTGGGTTATTTTTCAAGGTTAAAAAAAGGTCAGGATTTACAAAAAAAATTTGCCATCAGTGTCAGTGTGTTTTAGGGAAAAAAAAAAGACAAAAACAAAATGTGCACTATTGTTTCTGGGCTGTACTACGGGTACAAACAGCAAATAACATACACATGTATGGTATCGCTGGATCATCAAGAGCTGGAGAATTTATTTTGGGTTGTTCTTTGGTAATAACAAGAAACACACAGCTAAAATAAAAAAAAAAATTTTTTTTTACTATTTTGGGCCAGTTTTCCTTTGATAATAAAAAAAAATCAGGAGATATCCATTAGGTGTGATGATATGTACGGTTTTACTAACACATGTCAACGTTGCAAAATTGTGCTTAGGCATTTAGATTTGTTTTACCATTAGGCGTGAAGGGGTTCAGCATGGACTTAGCCTTTATTTTTTTTTAATTTTTTTCCTTGCTTTACCTGACATAATATACAAATTGAAGCTCACCCTTTGATTTAGTGATTCATGAAACAGTAGATACAAAAGCAACAATGTATTTCTTCATTTCGCATCTGAAAAAATTATTTTAAACACTGTATCAGAAGTTTCCGATTTTTAACAGCTGCAGCTTTTACAGCTGATGTATTCACACAGCAATCCCCGGCTGTAAAAATGACAGCTGGAAATTGCCAGAAAGTGCAAGGGACGGGGAATCTGCAGTGGGGCAGACAGATAGAATATGCTGTACTCTATACTGTGTACTTTGATTATGTTTTTTTTATGTTTTTTGGGGAGGGATGTATAAAACATCCAATGTTCCCAACTGTCTATTTATATTTGTTTTTGCCAAAGATTCATACATTGGATCCAGTTGGAAAATGTGTCAATCCTGGAAAGTTGTGTTCTAAGTGTGCTTGCTGACTTTATTTAGTAATAATTACAGCACGCATCATCTCTGTCAACTAATATCCTGCGCTGACACATTGCATGTCTTTATCCTTTCATATATGGTTTTACTGACAATTAATTAATTCCATGAGTAACAGGAAAAAATAGTATTTAGGAAAAACCTGACATTTTGTCATGTATCTAGAGCTGACATCTATTAAAAGGTAAGTTCAGTGGGGATCCAGTAAGCAGCCGTCCTGGGAGAAGATATAAAATGAAATAGGACAGTGTATATGTAACTGTAGCCTAGAAGCCATTAGCACAAATGTATCGTAAGCTAATGAGGGCAATCATTATCTGCATATTTTATAATGAGCTTTACTGTACATCCTGCCTCTCAGACGCTTCAATGTAACTCCAATCCTGCCTCTCACTTCAATGTAACTCCAGAACTTTTATTAGTTTGCTGAAATACTTTTAGCTTGTGGTACGTTTAGAAAACCATTTTTATCAGCTTTAAATTAATTGATAAAAAAAATTAAAAATTTTATTAAAAAAATAAAATATGTAATTAAATACAATAAAAAAATAATAAAAAATAATAATGTAATGCAGTATTTAATTTGAAGAAAAATATTTGAAATTAAAACATAGATGAACATATGTGTTTAGGATCCAGTGCCCAAAGATTTGCAAAGGGACAGATCGTTAGATTTTGGCGAAAAACTCTTTCACAGTGGATGGCTTGCAATTTGGAAGTTGCAATTTTATTGCACCTTATTTTTGCCATGATAGTAATTGATTAAATATATTGAGTTAGGGTTTTTTCTGGGCACCAAATAAAGCTATAATGTTATGTTGTCATGGTTTGGATTTGAACCAATGACCCTAATGAACCTACCAGCATGTCTTTGAAGAGCGGGAGGAAACCTACACAGGAAGGGGAGAACTTGCAACTCCAGGAAGGTGGTGCCATGGATGAGATTCGAACCAAGAACCCACCGTGCTGCCCATAGGACCTTGTCTCAGTTTTTGCAGTTCCCAAACCCTTGGGCACACATGCACCGTCTCTGGCTGCACTGGCTCCCACCCTGTCCTGGGTGGAGCCGCCCTGTCTCCTAGGGTAAAGCCCTGAACTCTGTTGTCACTACCCAACTCATAGGGGCAGTGCACACCTGCCCAATAACGGTGCTGGTTGTTCACAAAATACAGACCTAGGATTGGAGGCTTCATTCCTCCCAAATTTTTACAAAGTCCCCGGGCTCCAGGGCCCAAACTGGGTTTTACCAGTGTCAGAGGAAACAAAAAATCCTATTTCCACTATATGACCCAAGCACTTCAGAGCCACTCAACCTGTCGGGCAAGAACCCTGGATGACACGAAATACTTTTTTTTCCATAAAGATTTCAATAAAGATTTTGCAAGAGAGAAACAGATACAATATGAATGTATTACCGGTGGCAAGCCAAGCATGGACATTACATGCAAATAAATGAAAGGATATACAAAAAATGGAGAAAAAACAGAAACAATACGATGATGGGCACTAAAAGAGACTAAGAAATCATAACGAACATTCTTGGTTTCTATCAGAACTGTAAATTACATAGAGCCAGAGTCAGACCCTCACATGAGCTCCAGGGCCTCAACGACCCCAGACCCTCAGCAGCAGGGGCGGACTGACCATTTGGAAACTCGGGCACTGCCCTAGGGCCCGGCGTCAGTAGGGGGCCCCATGAGATGCCCCTGGTACCTTTTTCATAGGCTTTTTTGAGTTTGGGCAAGGACACAGCGGTCCCATGATCCCCTATTGCCCGGGGGGCCCCATGAGTTGTCAGTCCGCCCCTGCTCAGCAGTCTTCCAAAAGTAATAAAAACTCAGCTCAAGAATGGCTACCATGATTGTCCAATTATCACGTACCTGGTGATGGAGGCCAATGGAGAGAGGGCTTCCCTTGCGGCTAAATTCCGGACTCCCCTGAGAGTGGGACAGCGGGAGTCAGGCCCAAAGTTGCACAGGTCGCCTGTAGGAGTGCTGGTTGATGGTCCACTCAGAAGCACAGCTGGTGCACGGAGATAGGTCTGCAGACAGGAGGCACTTGTGAGTGGTATGTAAGCCCTTCCGGTATTTAAATGTTTACTGGGTAGTCGGTTCAAGCCAAGGTCAGGTACCAGGTGGGAATCAGAGCTGACGTAGTCAGATGGGATAGCCGAGGCCATACACAGGGGAGCAAGGAGTATCCATAAGCCAGGCCAAGGTCAGATCAGGGGTAAAGCAGAGTAGACAGGTCCAGGAG